CCCTTGGGGGTTTGGGAGATTTTTGGGGGGGGGTCTCTGGGAGTCCCCGGGGGGATTTTTGGGGGTCTCCAGAGGGATTTTTGGGGTTTTGGGGGATTTTTTGGGGGGGGTCTCTGGGAGTCCCCGGGGGGATTTTTGGGGGTCTCCAGAGGGATTTTTGGGGTTTTGGGGGATTTTTGGGTGTCCCCGAGGGGATTTTTGGGGTCATTTGGGGATTTTTGGAGTCTTTGGGTGTTCCCGGGGGGATTTTTGGGGTCATTTGGGGATTTTTGGAGTCTTTGGGTGTTCCCGGGGGGATTTTTGGGGTTATTTGGGGATTTTTGGGAGTCTCTGGGTCCCTCTGGGGGGTTTGGGGACCCTGCGGGGGGGCTCCTGTCACCGTGGGGGGACAAGGCCACCCCTGGGGGGGACATGGTGGCACTTGGGAGGGGGGTGCAGGGGGACAGGGCCACCCCCGGGGGGACAACGGGACCCCTTGGGGGGGACAGGGACCCCTGGAGGGGACAGAGCCACCCCCAGAGGGGACAGAGCCACCCCCAGGGGGGACAGGGCCACCCCCAGAGGGGACAGGGCCACCCCCAGGGGGGACAGGGACCCCTGGAGGGGACAGGGCCACCCCCAGGGGGGACAGAGCCACCCCCAGAGGGGACAGGGCCACCTGAGAGGGGACAGGGCCACCCCCAGAGGGGACAGAGCCACCCCCAGAGGGGACAGGGCCACCTGAGAGGGGACAGGGCCACCCCCAGAGGGGACAGGGCCACCCCCAGAGGGGACAGGGCCACCCCCGGGGGGAACAGGGCCCCCCCAGGGGGGACAGGGCCACCCCCAGAGGGAACAGGGCCACCTGAGAGGGGACAGGGCCACCCCCAGAGGGGACAGAGCCACCCCCAGAGGGGACAGGGCCACCTGAGAGGGGACAGGGCCACCCCCAGAGGGGACAGGGCCACCTCCAGGAGGACGACAGGATCCCCCAGAGGGGACAAAGTGCCCCCCAGAGGGGACCTGAGTGGGACAGGGCCACCCCCAGAGGGGACAGAGCCACCCCTAAAGGGGACAGGGCCACCCCAGAGGGGACAAAGTGACCCCTGGAAGGGACAGGACCACTCCTGGAGGGACAGGGCCACCCCCGGTTGGGACAAGGCCACCCCTGGGGGGACAAAGTGGCCCCCAGAGGGGACAGGGCCCCCCCCAGGGGACACAGGGCCACCCCTGAGGGGACAAAGTGAGCCCCGCAGGACACAGGGCCACCCTCGGGGTGACACCGGAGGGACATTTCAGGGCGGAGGTGACACCGCCCCACCCCCCAGCCCAGGGACAGTGCCACCCCGGTGTCCCCAAGGCCACCCCCGTGTCCCCCCCCCAGAGACGGGGCCGTTCCTGTGCCCCCTCCTCGGGTCGGGGCCACCCCGGGGCCACCTCGGGGTCACCTCAGGGTCACCTCGGGGCCACCTCAGGGGCCACTTCAAGGCCACCTCAGGGCCACCTCAGGGTCACCTCGGGGTCACCTCAGGGTCATCTTGGGGTCACCTCAGGGCCACCCCAGGGTCACCTCAGGGTCACCTCAGGGTCACCTCGGGGCCTCCTCAGGGTCACCTCAGGGTCACCTCAGGGTCACCTCAAGGCCACCCCGGGGGTCACCCCAGGGTCACCTCAGGGCCACCTCAGGGGCCACTTCAAGGCCACCTCAGGGCCACCTCAGAGGCCACTTTGGGGCCACCCCGAGGGTCACCTCAGGGCTACCCCTGGGGTCACCTCAAGGCCACCCCAGGGCCACCCCGGGGCCAGCCCGGCCGGGCCGTGTCCCCGCGCGGCGCGGTGGCCGCGGTGGCCCTGATGTCCCCTCCCGTGTCTCTCTTGTCACAGCTGTCCGTCAGGTAGCGCGGCCCGGCCCCGCCAGTGGCACCGGACCCTCGGCCACCGGTGACACCCCAGGTGGGTCCTTGTCCCCTCCCTGTCACCCCCCAGGCCGCACAGGGGGACCCTTGGGGACACGGATCCGAGATGTCCCCAAGACCCTCTCGTGTCCCCGGGGGACACTGGGAACCCTTGGGGACATGGATCCGGAATGTCCCCAAGCGCTCTGCTGGCCCCAAGGGACACTGGGGACACTTGGCAGGTGTCCCCATGTCCCTCCCGTGTCCCCATGTCCCTCCCGTGTCCTTCAGGCACACTGGGGACCCTTGGGGACACAAACCCAAGATGTCCCCAAGACCCTCCTGTGTCACTAAGGGACATTGGGGACCCTTGGGGACAGGGATCTGGAATGTCCCCGTGTCCCTGCTGTGTCCCCATGTCCCTCGTGGGCACTGGGGACACGGATCCAAGATGTCCCCAAGACCCTTTTCTGTCCCCAAGGACATGGATTGGGGACATGGATCTGGAGTGTCCCCAAGGGACATTGGGGACCCTTGGGGACACGGATCCAGGTGTCTCCAAGACCCTTTTCTGTCCCCAAGGGACACTGGGGACACAGATCTGAGTGTCCCCATGTCCCTTCCCCCTCCCTCGGGAACACTGGGGACACGGATCCAGGTGTCCCCATGTCCCCGTGGACCCCTTGGGGACACGGATCCAGCTGTCCCCGTGGATCCTTGGGGACACGGATCCAGCTGTCCCCATGTCCCCACGGATCCTTGGGGACACGGATCCAGGTGTCCCTATGTCCCCATGGACCCCTTGGGGACATGGATCCAGGTGTCCCCATGTCCCCGTGGACCCCTTGGGGACACGGATCCAGGTGTCCCTATGTCCCCATGGACCCCTTGGGGACATGGATCCAGGTGTCCCCATGTCCCCGTGTCCCTCCTGTGTCCCCGTGTCCCTCCCATGTCCCCAGGGCACACTGGGGACCCTTGGGGACACAAATCCAGATGTCCCCAAGACCCTTTTCTGTCCCCAAGGGACACTGGGACCCCTTGGGGACACAGATCCAGCTGTCCCCAAGGTGCTCATGGTCCCCATGTCCTTCCCACGTCCCTCAAGGGCACTGGGGACACTTGGGGACCCTTTGGGGACATGGATCCAGATGTCCCCAAGACCCTCCTGTGTCCCCATGTCCTTCAGGGACACAAGGGACCCCCTGGGGACACAGACTGGGGTGTCCCCGTGTCCCTTGGGGACACAGATACGGGTGTCCCCATGTCCCTCCTGTGTCCCCTGTCCCTCAGGACCCCTTGGGGACACCACCCCCGGTGTCCCCATGTCCCTCCTGTGTCCCCATGTCCCTTGGGGACATGGATTCAGGTGTCCCCACATCCCTCCTGCCGTCCCCATGTCCCTCCTGGTGTCCCCATGTCCCCTGGGGACATGGACCGAGATGTCCCACTGTCCCTCCTGGTGTCCTCCTGTCCCTCCTGTGTCCCTGTGTCACCTGGGGACACTGTCCGAGGTGTCCCCTTGTCCCTCCTGATGTCCCCGTGTCCTTCCTGGTGTCCCCATGTCCCTTAGGGACACTGGGGACCCCTTGGGGACACCACTCCCGGTGTCCCCATGTCCCTCTTGGTGTCCCCATGTCCCTTAGGGACACTGGGGACCCTTTGGGGACATTGGGGACCCTTTGGGGACATCACCCCAGGTGTCCCCATGTCCCTTAGGGACACTGGGGACCCTATGGGGACATGGAGGACCCTTTGGGGACACCACCTCAGGTGTCCCCATGTCTCTCTTGGTGTCCCCATGTCCCTTGGGGACACTGGGGACCCTTTGGGGACATCACCTCAGGTGTCCCCATGTCTCTCTTAGTGTCCCCATGTCCCTTGGGGACACTGGGGACCCTTTGGGGACACCCCCCCAGGTGTCCCCATGTCCCCTCAGGTGCCACCACTGGCCCTGTCCCCACCCGCTGGAGGTGCCACCATTGTCCCCATCCCCCCGGGGGGGTGACCATGGTTTTGGGGGGGGTGGGGTTTGGGGTTTGTCACCAAATGTCCCCCAGCGCTGGCGCCGCGTCACCGTCACCATCCTCGTGTCTTGTGTCTGTCCCCATCTCACCGGGGGGGAGGTGACACCCGTGTCCGTGTGCCATGTCCTGTCACCGCGGGGGGGACAGTTCAGGGGGGCGGGGACAGTTCAGGGGGTTTGGGGACAATTCAGGGGGTTTGGGGACAATGAGGCAGCACCAGGACATTTTGGGGTGGGGGGAGGAGCAGTTTAGGGGAGGCAGGGACAATTTTAGAGGGGGGGTGGGGACAATTTTGGGGACAGCAGGCTCAGGGGGACACGGGAGTGGGACACAGGGGGCACAGCGGGCTCAGGGGACACAGGGACAGAGAGACACACTAGGGGCAAGGGGCTCAGGGGGACACGGGGGGACAGCGGGGACATCAGGGACAGCGGGGACAGCGGGGACATCAGGGACAGCGGGGACAGCGGGGACAGCGGGGACAGC